CAAACCAAACCAAACCAAACCAAACCAAACCAAACCAAACCAAACCAAACCACCAACCAACCAATCACCACCACCACTACCAACAACAAAAACCCAGTGCTGGTGCCTTAAACAGAAAGTCCCCTTAGACTATTTTTGAACTTTCTGAGTGGAATTGAGTAGCATACATTTTGCAGTGTATGGCTTCTCCTAAGATCTGTTCCAGGCTTTTGTTTATCTACAGTTTACTTTTATTATATAAGTATTATATAATTTACATATATCACATCTGTTTTTCTTTGTTAAAGGGACTCTCTATGCACTTGTAATTCATTAGCATGTCCTGTCTGGGGGCGGGGACAGGGAGAGGGCGTATGGGGGCAGAGGACATCTTTGCAGAGTCTGTCATCTTCCATCTTTGAATGGGATCCTAGGCTCAAACTCAGGTCACCGGGTAAGGTAGTTAGGGCATTTACCCATTGAGTCATCTCACTGGCCCTTGCAAACTGTTTTCCTGTTTCAAAAAGGGGTGCTCTCCAGTTTTGGAGAGTTGTGAACAATAGCCACCTGTACGCATGCATTCAGTTAAACACTTGATTCCAGGTCATTTTCTTGGCCTTGACTTGGGCTGTCCAGAGCTGGGGCTTAGTGTTCATACGGTGCTATGGTGTGCTGGCTGCTGTAAGCACTTGCCTTGCACTTGTTTAACTGGTAGAGTTTCAGTTTGGGGAGAGGAACAAAGTTCTGGAGACAGAGGTGAAAGGTGCCCAACAATGGGATGCATGTAAAACCACTGGATTACAGAATTAAAAATGGGTAAAGTGGGTAACTTCTGTGTATATTGGGATACATACACGAAATGCACTAAAGCTTTATAAAAATAACAGATGGGTTTCTCTGAAGATAGGGGACAGGAGACAGAATTCTTACTCTTTTTCCTTTTAAAAAAAAACTTTACAAGGCTGGAGAGAAGTCTCAGCACTTAAGAGCATGGCTGTTCTTGCCAAGGACCCAGGTTCGGCTCTCAGCACCCACACATGATCCCTGGGCGGCAAGCACTTTCACCTGCTGAGCCTTGTTGCCAGTCCTCCATTCAAATTCTTTTCATTTTGTAGGGATGAGGGTCAAACATGGGGACTTGTGCATGCTGGACAAGTGACCTACCTCTGAGCTGCACCCTCAGCCTCAGCCTGGAAAGGGTTTTGATGACTAAAGGCTGACTTAAGACTCTTAAAACAGAGAATGCTGTAGAGAAAACACTTTCTAGTTTGACAAAGAATCTATAATGTTTACTAATTTTTTCTTTTCTTTCCTTTTTTTTGGCAAAACATCAACTACTACAGAGCGAGCCCAGACTTCTGATGCTGAGTTTACTGAAGGACAGAGATGGGGAGGGAGGGAGGACAACTTGCATCTTATTCAAGATGATTTATACAAACAGTGGCATACAAATCATCTGGTGACACCGTTGAATCTAATATATAAGGCTGTCTTTATTGTACAGATGCAATAAAGAATATTTATTGAGCGCTTGGTTATCAGTACTCTGCCAAGAACAGCAAGAGAAATAAAACAACACTGGACATAGGCCTTGATATTATGGGGCTTATAATTTACATAGGCCTTCTTAAAGAAGGGATAACACCAACCACAAAACTCTTATTTCCCAATAACTGCTACACACACACACACACACACACACACACACACACACACCCTAGTGAATCCTAGTTGACATGAGAGTCTTTGTCTCAAAAATATGTGAAGAGTGATAGAGCTAGACACTTGGTATTGAATTTTGGCCTCCATACACACTTGCAAGGTCATGCATGCATACATGCATGCATGCATGTGCACACGTACACACACACACACAACACACACACACACACACACACACACACACACACACACACAAGTACCAAAAGAAGACTACACCATGAGCTTTGTGGATGTAAAGTGAAGTTCAAGGGCTCTGCTTACTGTGAGCTGTTCAGACAGGAAGACTAAATAAAGCTCACATACGATCCATTGGCTGTGAGTGGAACCGGTGTCACAACAGAGAGGAGGGTGTGTTTCTCCCCCACCATTCCTCCCCACCCCCGAGCTCGGGGGCACTGGAGTCTTCTTGATACTCTACGGGGAGGGTGAAAATGGAGGCGTTAGGGAAAACTGTTCTGTAATCTAGCTAATTAGTAAGAGCAGGAAAGATGGACTTCCCAAAGGCTAGGCTACTCAGAAATGACAGAAAGGTTAATAGTAGCTTGTGGAAGTGGAGATTTTCCTAGGCACTGCAAAAATGCATTTAACGCCAGGGAGTTGTTAATGAAGTCAACTGCCTTTTGGAAGTAAAAGCAATCAACAAAAATTTAGAAGAAAACAGTGGCTATCTTTATGGCTAAGCAAGGCAAGAGTTCTTATATAACACAGCAAAGCACAATCCACCCCCAAACCAAACCCAACCAGAATAGAAAATGGGTAACTCAGCTCAGCCAAACCAAGAGAAAACTGCAAATGAGAGTCTAAGAGAAAATATTTGAAAATCACTCTTTTGATACCGGATTTATACCCAGAGTTGTATAAAGAACTCTTACAACTCAATAGTGAAACGTGATTTAATAAAAGATCTGGTAGTGCACGCAGCCCAGGGGTACAGAGAGCACTTGTCCTACATACATAGGGCCTTGGGTTTGACCTCAGCACCATAAACAAACAAATGAATAAATATGCAATAGACATTTTACTAAACAACATGCATGAATGATAAACACATTAGAAAAATACAAATTAAGCCGGGCGGTGGTGGCGCACGCCTTTAATCCCAGCACTTGGGAGGCAGAGGCAGGCGGATTTCTGAGTTCGAGGCCAGCCTGGTCTACAGAGTGAGTTCCAGGACAGCCAGGACTACACAGAGAAACCCTGTCTCGAAAAACCAAAAAAAAAAAAAAAAAAGAAAAAAAAATACAAATTAAAGTCATAACAATATCTATGTCTTTTTTTTTCTTCCCTTAGCTTTCTGAGACAGGGTCTCTCTACCTGGCTCTGGATGGCCTGGACCTCACACTACACCAAGCTAACCTCAGAGTCACAGAGATACTCCTGTCTCTCTTTCCAAGTGCCAGGATTAAAGCTGCACACCACCATGACAGTTTGGATGGCTGTCTCTTAAAAAGTAAAATATAAATATCCAATAAGACCTAGCTATCTCCCTCCTAGGATTCTTCTAAAAAAATAAAAATAAAAAACATAGGTTTAGGGGCTGGAGAGATGGCTCAGTGATTAAGAGCTGCTCTTCTAGAGGA